AGTCCTGGACCACGGTCCAGTCCGCGGTCCTCTGGTAGGACCGGTCTTTGGGACCAAGACCGGACCGGGACGGACCGGGACGGACCGTAACATCCCTAATTTTCATCCGGGTGACTCATGACGGGTTGCTTTTTTAACCCACCCGGGTGGCATTTTTTTTGACGGGTCCAGTCACTAAGTACAGGGGAACAATTTTGTGGGTGCGCTACCTAAGTCTTGGGAACGTCCTTATCCTGTTCCTGGGGTAGAGGCTATTATCCTGTGACCGGGGGTACAGACACTTATCCTATACCGCCTAAATATGATTGGTCCAAACTCCAAATATTAAATTTGTAGCGGTAGTAAAAATAAATTACATGATTCACACCCAAAAATAACCCGAGTAATTTTTTTTTACTTCTTTACGTAAGTGAATTTAGCTATTGTGTGGTCTATTTAAAGTCTACAGCTCAAGTTTGTAAAGATTTACATTTAACTCATAAGTACGGTTTTATAATTTATTTTAACTGTTAAACATTGCTATAGGGCATTACATATTGTTAAATTCAGCCCGCGAATGTAAGTCTTTTCAGGTTCATGAGAAGTTACCCTTGTATGTTTAAAAACTAGGTTTAGGTCAAAACAGAATCCCGACAAACCAGATCTATAATCAATGCAAACTAAATTGTCGGGATCTTGATCTTGTTGGAATGTTGTGTCAGGATTTTGACAGACCCTTAGAAACTATTTTGTAACTTTGAGATTCAAGTTTATAATGGTTTTGGCTTTGAAATATTGTATTTATTTTTCATTTATTCATTCCATTAATAGGTTTAACACATCTTATATACTAAGGCGTTCTTTAGCATGCTATTCAAGTCTTCGAGCACTTAATCAAACAACTTTTGCCATGAAAGTTGTGCTATAATGGTTTAAGCGTGATCATGATTATTAACTAATCAAATATAAGTGTTTGAAATAATCTTGGCTAGTTGTAATTCTGCTGCTTCGATAAATGAAGATACATAAGTAGCATTTAGACTTTGATAAACAAATGTATATGTTAAATAATTATATTATATAAATGATTAAAAAGACATTTATTTGAATGAATGATTTAGAACCAAGATTATATAAGTGCTTTCAAATATATTTATAAAATATACTTATCAATATTTATGAAACTTATAATCAATTTATTGAAATAAAATATACAATACTATTCTGAATGTACATAATCACCAAGATCAGCACTACCCTCCATAATTTCTCGTGCAAATTCAAGTTCTAAACCATCTTTATCCTGAGAAATTAAATATAATGTAGTCTCAGGAACCAAAACCTCCTATAAATAATCAACCAGTTTTTCAGGTGCAACTAAATTGTATGTTAAAAGGTTTGTATCAAGAAAAAGTATGGAAAGTGCATCACTAATAATATTTAATTCGCGTGAACCATAGTATCCTAGCTATAATAAATTTAAAATTAATAATTAATAATATAAATTAATTGATGATCCACCAGTCACCTGGTGCAATGATCATGGTGTAACGTAATGCAGATTACTTATAGAAATTAGGGTTTTTGGAAAGTGGAGTGCATGTATCTAAACCTTTTTTCATACTAAGTTAATCAATCTTGTTGATTAAGTGAAAGTTGTAGAGCTCTTTGAGACGCATCTAATGGTGGTTAAATCATCCAAACAAACTATTGTTTACATAGAGATTTTATATCATTTTCTAGCAAAATCTCACGAATCACTGGGCCGATTTGGATGATTTAACCACCATTAGATGCATCTTGAAGAGCTCTACAACTTTCATTTAATTGACAAGATCAATTAATTTAGTACGAAAAAAAGTTTTACTTGAAGAATTGTTAGAAAATCTTTGTATTTCTCTCTTATATAATTTACATAGTAATTTGCATCATATTTTACACTATGATTGTTGTATTAGGTGACTAGTGGATCATCAATTAAATACAAAAATCTTTTTAATATACTCTTAAAACTTCAAAACAAGCCATTAATGCCATCAAAGTGCTAGCTTTTCTCGAACCTATTTTATTATAAATTTTTAAAGCAAAATTATGATAATAATTATTAGTCTTTCTATTAATAATGTCAAAAAAGTTTATCTTTCATTTGAAAAATTTAAGTTTCTAATGAATCAAAATCAATTTGCATTGGATAACCTTTTTAAATGCCATTAGGAATGATAGTAGTTTTTGCTTGATGAATTTCACAAAAAATAAATCTATCTTTGAAAGTAGAAGTATTTATGTATATATATAGGGGAATTGTTATTCGTACCCCCCATGTAGATCAAATTTTTTTAAACTTTGAGCGATGGTTTCCTGACACCCACCAAGCCAAATTCGATGAATTCTTTTTTATTTGAATTCTATGGATTTGTAGAATTCAAATAAAAAAAAATTCATCGAATTTGGCTTGGTGAGTGTCAAGATACTATCGCTCAAAGTTTTAAAAAAACTCAAAACGTATATCAAAACAAAAGCTGCGCCAAACTTTTTCTCAAACTTTGCACGAAGATATCTCGACAACCATCAAGTCAAATTCGATGAATTTTTTTATTTGAATTCTACGAATCCATAGAATTCAAATAAAAAAAAATTCATCGAATTTGGCTTGGTGGATGTCAATATACCATCGCTCAAAGTTGTAAAAAAACTCTAAAACGTATATCAAAACAAAAGCTGCGCCAAAATTTTTCTTAAACTTTGCGCGAAGATATCTCGACAACCATCAAGTCAAATT